ACTCCCCTAACCCAGTCTCCCCTCCACACCACTCTGCCTCATCTCCCTGTGGTCCAGTGAGTGGGCTTTGTAGCCCCCTGTTCGGTGCCTCCTATCACAGCCCTGTCTTGCTGTCCTGGTGCCCCCATGGCCCAGCAGCCCGCATCCCAGCCCAGCTGCCCCCAGGGCCCCTCACGGCCCCACCTCCCACACCATCGGCCCCGCCCACATCCCTAGGCTCCACCCCATGTCAACCCCTCCTCACGCCCCGCCCCGGGCCCGCCCAGCCGACCTCACCTCCTCCCACTGGTGGATGTAGCGGATGAGCCGCGACAGGCGCAGCAGCCTCAGCAAACTGAGGATCTTGGTGAAGCGCACTATGCGCAGGGCGCGCGCCGTCTTGTAGACTTCGGAGTCGATGCCCTTCTCCACGATGAGGAAGATGTAGTCCACCGGGATGGAGGACACGAAGTCCACCACAAACCACGTGCGCAGGTACTTCTTCTTGATCTTCTCGGGGTCCAGGATGATCTCCGTGTTGTCCTCGATCACGATGCCCGTGCGGAAGTTGAGCACCAGGTCCATGAGGAAGAAGGTGTCCGAGACCACGTTGAACACGATCCAGGGCGCTGTGGTCTCATCCTTGAAGAAGGTGATGCCCACGGGGATGATGATGAGGTTTCCCACCATGAACAGCAGCATGGTGAAGTCCCAGTAAAACCTGCGGGAGGCCAGGCTGCTCACACCTCCTCCCAGCAGGAAGTCCTTCTCCCAGACAGCCCAGGTCCCTCCCTCTGGGCCACAGGGAGGGGACTTAAGAGAGCCCAGGAAGCTGCTCACAATGGACCAGAAAGGTACAGCATGCTTGGCACAAGGCTGGAGTTCAAAAACTAGTAAGGGTTAGCTGGGCGAGGTGGCGCACGCCTGCCATCCCAGCACCATGGGAGGCTGAGGTAGGAGGATCTCAGTGGCAAGCCCAGCCTGGCCAACTTAATGAGACCGTGATTCAAAATAAAAAATAAAGCCTGGGGTGGTGGCGCACTCCTGTAATCCCAGCACTCGGGAGGCTGAGGCAGGAGGATTGCTGTGAGCTCGAGACCAGCCTGGGATACAGAGTGAATTCCAGGTCAGTGTCAACTACATAGTGAGACCCTGTCTCAAAAAAAACAAAAATAAATAAACAAAATAAAAAATAAACAGGGGCTGGGCTGGGGATTTAGCTCAACGGGATACAGAGTGAATTCCAGGTCAGTGTCAACTACATAGTGAGACCCTGTCTCAAAAAAACAAAAATAAATAAACAAAATAAAAAATAAACAGGGGCTGGGCTGGGGATTTAGCTCAGTGGTTCTGCCACCTGCTTCGGAAGCGTAAGGTCCCGAGTTTGATCCCCGGTACCCAAAATAATAAATAAGTAAATAATCAGGGGCTGCAGACGTAGCTCAGTGCAAAGGTTCTGGGTTCGATTCCCAATATTAAAAAAAAAACCCTACACAATAAGTTAGGGGGAGGGGAAAAAGACTAGCAAGTGGAGTGGCAGGGGGCAGGCAGGGCAGTGGGCATGATGCAGGACGACAGAGCAAGGCTGAAGCCGAGCAGGGACAGCGCCAGGGTGTACAGGCTGTGAGGGTGGGCAGAGAGTGACCCACGACTGGGCAGATGCTTGGGTGTGTAATATAAATACACAGGCAGAAGTGAGGACCAGCCGCTTCCACTATCGAATACGCCCAGACAGGAGGGATGTCCACAGGGTCAGCCCTGATTTCCTCAGGAAGACTGGCGGGGCAGACCTGACCATGCAACTCTTGATGGGCTGGCGTGTACTGAGAGTAGAGCGTCTCTCTGTAGGGACAGAGGCCACATGGACAGATGCCCAGCCCTAGCTACTGAGAAAATGCAAATTCAAACCTCCCTGGGGAGAGCTGCTTTGTGGCTGCTTGAAAAGTTAAACGTACAATTAGCACCCGACCCAGCATTTCCACTACGAGTATTCACCCAAGGGTCCAACAGCAAAGATGCCTTTAGAATCCTGTGCACCCCTGTCTGCAGCAGCATGAATCACAGAAGCCCAAGGTGGAAACGGTCCCAATGCCCAGCCATGGATGGGTGAGTGAACATACACAGTGCATATTTGGAATATTACTCAGCCAGGAAAATGACCTAGGCTGTGACACTCACCATGGGTGGATGCGCCATGAGGACACTGTGCTCAGTGAGAGATACCAGACACAAAAGGACACACAGTATGGGGCTACATGGGCAGGAAGCACCCAGGGCAGGCAAATCCAGAGACAGGAAGTGGACTTTGTGGGTGCTGGGGCTTGGGGGAGGGGTGACTGCTTATCGGGGCAGGGCTTCCTGTTGGGGTTATGGGATGCTCTGGAGGTGGATGGTGGTGATGACTGAATCACAGTATGGCTATGTTCTTTTATGTTTTTGGTACCAGGGATTGAACTCGGGTCCTTGAGCTTGCAAGGCAGGCCACCGAACCGCTGAGCTAAATCCCCAGCCCATGGCTATGTTCTTAATACCAGGCGACTATATACTTTAAAATGGCTACATGGCTAATTTTACTGATGTATTATTATAAAAGAAAAAACCATGAAGCCTAGGGGGGTCTGAACTTCAGTCTGGGAGTCTGAAACTGTCCACCCTGTGCAGATCCAGGCAAAGGAGGTGGCTCCAATTTTAAGTAGGGAGGCTGGACTTTGGGAGGCTGAGACAGGAGGGTGTCGAGTTGTATCCCATCCTGGGCAACTTAGCAAGACTCTGTCTTAAGATAAAAAATTAAAAGGGCCAGGGGTGGAGCTCAGTGGGAAGGCCCTGGGTTCCATCTCCAGTACTAGAAGAAAAATACCAGCAGAGTCACTGGATTTTGCCCTTAAAGTTTGGGGGGCCCCTCTCCTGGAGTGTCAGCCTCTGGCAGCTCCCTTGATGTGTTGCCCCTGTCCAGGAATGCTGTGGAGGGCTATCCCCATCATCTCTGTGAGGAAGACCCTGAGAGATGGAGGACCCCCCCAAAACAGCTTGGAGACCTGGCTCAGCCGCCCCTGAGCCACCGGCCAACCGTGTGAGCCGCTGTTTTGGGAATGCTGGTAAATTCACTCCTCGAGGACACAGCTATTAACATCCTGCCCGTGGGGCAGCCAGGCGTCCACTTCGGGGAATTGAGCTCAAGGAAAGTGTCCAAAGGGGAGAGAAAAAAATTAAAAAGTGATTTGTACCAAGATGTTCGTGGCAGCTGGATCTGTGAGAGCCAAGTGCTGGAAGCGACCCAGCGTCTCAGCGTGGCAGCACAGCGCGAACCAGAGCGGCTGGCACCTGCCCACCGCATGGGTGACTGTGGGCAACTCCTCAGCCCTCCCCTCAGAACCCGGCTCCTTGCCTGTCCTTGGCCCTCATGTGCCCAGAGTCCTTTTGAAGGGCTCAGGGCTCGGCCGTGACAGTGAGGTGGCCGGGCCCGTGGGACAGCCCTGTAAACCCACCCAGGCGGGGAGAGAACCCCTAAACAAGTTCAAAGTCAAATGACTCCCTTCAAACAAGCAAGCAAGAGCAACAGAGAGGTCAAGGATCCTGGAAACCTTACAGGAACGGTGGCTAAGAACCAGCAAGGAAGCGGGGTGCTGGGGATTTAGCTCAGTGGTGCTGCTGCCTGCGCCTGCTTTGCAAGTGGCAAAGTCCAGAGTTCGATTCCTGATACAAGAAAAAACTAGCAAGGGGCCCTAGAAACCATGGTGGATGCTCCAGAAATTGCCAGGGCAACTAGAAACCACTAAGGGGACCTAGAAGCAGTCGGAACACATTCGCGAGGATGCCTTTCCGTGGGACACTGCAGAGACACCCTCGACTTTTCCCCTCAGGTGGGCTGGGCAGCGCAGGTACAACACCTCCCACGGAGACCTAGGCTGCTCCGCCCCCTGCCCCTCCTGCTCCTTCCGGTGGCCTAGGGTCACGCGGTGTGGCCCTGGGCTGTGGGAGGTCAGAACAGAGACCAGGGGACAGGAGAGGGGCTGAAGAGGATGGCTGGGTGGCCCCCCGGTTGTCGCTTTGGGGTGAGCCTGCCAGCTCCAACAGGGTGCCTCCGCTCCTCGACCTCACCAGCCAGCCTGGTCCCTGTGGACCAGTCACATGTGTCCCCTACCAAGAGGAAACCAGCCAGGGGCAAGGAAGACCCCAGAGTCCTGCGGGACCCCACTCTGGGGCAGAGGAACCCCCTGCCTTGGGGCTTGGGGAAGGGCTCCCGTCCCCACAGACAAGGTCCTGGATGGAGAGGGCCCCACCTGGCCATGCTCCCCTCCTGGCACCCTGACCATGTGCAGCCTTCTCTGAGCCTGTGGGGACCCTGCTCTGTGGGGACAGGGATGTGCTGAACCCTCTCCCTCTGTGAGACCCTGGCTGGTGCCAACATCAACTCCCTCTCCCACAGCTGCCCATGCTCTCAGCTCACATGGGCAATCGGGTAAACTGAGGTTTGCCTCAGGCAGTAAGTGACACCACAGCATTTGAACCAGGCAGTCTGTGGGCTGCCGCAGGACTGAGGGGTCCTCCTCCTACCTCGGTGCTGTAGCAACTGACCAGGATCACAGAGCGGGCAAATCCCAGTGGATCAGAGGCCAGAGGTTGGGGATTACAGACAGGCAAGCTCAGAGGAGGATCAGCAGGCCTGAGCTGGATGTGGTTATATCCGTGGGAGGTGTCAGGAATTAGGAAGGGGACACAGCAGGGAAGATGGCTGGGTTCCTGGGTGTTGTCAAGGCAGGGCGGGCATTTCAGGCCTGAGTGCTAGGTGCCAGGGCAGACACTGATCTGCATGGAGGAGAGGAGGCTGTGGTACATCGGGTGCAAAAGACATGGGGCGAACTGTGCCCTGGGTGGACAGAGAGATGCATCTGGGGATGGTAGAGTTTGGTGAAGGGGGAGTAGCAGCACCCAGGCAGTGGGAAGCACAGGTGCAAAGGTCCTGAGGTCAGCCAGGTGTGGTGATGTACACGTGTCATCCAAAGACTAGGAAAGCTGAGGCAGAAGTTTCATCAAAAGTTCAAGGCCACCCTAAACTACACAGTGAAACTACCTTTAAAAAAATAATTTAAAAAAGGCTGTGAGGTCCTTCAGGTTTTCCCCTGAGGCTGGCCAGGAGCTCAGACCACAGCGAGGTAGAGGAGATGGAATCAGAGGACCAGCATGCGGAAGAGGCCCCTACTATACAGGGTGGCGGGTGGGGACAGGGTCCCAGGCTGCCATCCTGGGGTGGGATCAGAAGACTGAATCTCAGAGCCTGGCCTGAGCCTGTGCTTGGCTGGAAAGGGCCTCTCAGTGTCCCCTGTGCCTATGGGGGGCTGGAAGGTTGAAGGGACCTCAGGCCAGGCCCTGGGGAGAGGCAGTGGCCTTGGCCCCCAATCCCTGAGGCCTCTCCCTAGACCCCAGCATCTCTTCTTCTCCAGAGGGCAGAGCTGGATCCCATCCTCCCTCCTGCCCATCTGCTGCACCCCCTGCAACCTGGCCTGCAACAGCTCCCCTGGTGATGAGGTTTATTCCCCAGCTGGATGCGGGGATCCCAGGGATTAGCACGGCCCCAACTCTCGCCGATCTGATTTCCAGGCCACGTAGGGGTGGGAACCAGGCTTCCTGTCCTCATCAGGCTCAAGACCCCAGGGACTGTGACCTGTTCAGAGTCGGCATCAGTGGATCCCAGCTAGGTCTAAAGCAGCTGGACAAGTCAGGAGCAGGCAGCTGACCAGCAGCAGGAGGGATGGAGTCAGACCTCAGAGGGGAGAGAGAAGGGGAGCCACCTGCCATCACTCTCAGGGGACAGACAGCCCCTGGCCTCCCTGGCCCTAGGTGTCCCCAGCCCAACTGTCCCACCATGCCCCTTCAGAGGTCTTCAGGGCTCAGCTCTT